ATTTATGCTCCTTGAATTGGAATAACCTTGTTCTGCTATGAATATTTCGGGTAATTCATAAGTTTCATGTACCCATCTGAGCATGTCTCCAAATCCATCTGAATACGTCTACAAAAAATATGAAAATGAAATATATTAGCAAAAAATTCAAGAGAAAGCTGCATGCACTCGTTTTACAGCTGATTTACCTTGTGAAGATCATTTTATACCAGCTTTTCCTATGACGTTCGACTGGACTTCAAATAGTATTTCAGAAATGCAAGAAAAGTATTTCTGAATCGCAATAGTGATTTAGATTTGTATTCCATGAGTGAAAATAGCATTGTTCATGTCTATCTGACTCACCTGGATTGTCTTTTTGTAATCATGGTTAATTTTCTCCCTTTCTTCTACAAATGCGAAATCATTTTGAAAAGTCGGTTTCTCGTCCACAGTGTCATTAAGTGCTTTCACTCTTAGCGTAATATAGTTGTTGATTCCAATAAAGTCGAAAGAACCTTTCAGCTGTCTTTTCTCTTCTTCTGTGAATTTCGGTAAACGAGATTCTGCGAATCCTTGTTCTCTACTATATCGATCAATTCTCTCAACCATCATTTCTGGATAATCTCCAAAAACGATTGGATCGCAAAACCATCGAAACTAAAAAAAAAAAAAATTAAATCTTGAATGATTAGGTACCTCAAATGGAAGTACCAAAATTTCAAAAAACCAATCAGAAAACCTTATCACAAGTACGAAGACAATAAAATTTATTCTTGCCATTTATGGGCAGCGACTTGCCTGAAATCGAAAATCTTTTGGAAATGAATCAAATATGAAGGGCAAATTACTAAATTCAACTAGAATTTGCGTTCGAATTAGATTCTGATACGAATTTTTACAACTCACCGGTAACACTTAGTATTATAAAATGTTGCTTATATACTTCAGACAACAAAAATGTATGGATACTGAATGTAAATATGTTTCTTTTGTATATGGTTTCGGGCAAAACCTCTGATCCTTCTTTGAATCATTGTAAAAATATTTCAAATTGCACAGAATTGTACAAAAATACCAATTCAATATCTTCCGAAATAATATGCATGCAATTTTACCCGTTCAGCTTTGTTTGAACAAAGCTGATTGAACATGATTCTATATTTTTACTTTCATTCCCATTCCATTCCATTATATCAGCCGTAAATTTCAGTTTTCTGTTCGTTTCGTTGGTTTCTGTTATTAGAATTTTGACGTGGTCCCAATTCATCTCATGTGCACCATCTTCTGCAAAACATACTGCGCCAATTTTAATTTTCCTACAACTCGGCTTTTGTATTTATTGGGTCCATTCAGAAGATTTGTCCTTTTCAATGTCGTGTGTTTTTGTAGTTTCTCATCTCAATAATTATTTATTCTACTATGTATAAAGATAGAGAATTTTGTACTCTATGTGACCTGTAAAAAGGCCTGTTAGACATCATAATTCATCCCCACTGTAGTCCAACAACTGTTTGGTATTAAGCTTCGAAGGGTGAGTGAGCCAATCCTGGAAGATTCTGCCAGAAGTCCATAAATCTTCTTGCCATCCAGGTGTTCAATGTTTGTTTGGCAAAGCCTGAAGCGAGGCCAATGTCAGGTTGTGGTCCGATGAAGCTGCTTGCAGCACCCTGTTTTGCATGGGAGTCAGCAGCTTCATTGCCTTCCAGGCCAGTATGGCCAGGAATCCAGACCAGAGTCAATCTGTTGAGTTTTCCTATCGAGGAGAGTCGTTTTTGGCAATTTGCTACCAATTTAGACGTTGTTTGGTAGGAGCCAAGAGCTTTCAATGCCGCTTGACTGTCCAAGAATATTTTTATTGACTTGTGTATGAGGTTGGATTTATCCAATCTCTCCGCACACAATTTGATAGCGTAAATTTTCGCTTGGAATACAGTCACATACGTAACTAGGCAGGTAGATATCTCTGTCCTGGGTCTGCGACTAAAAACACCTGCACCAGAACCAGAAAGTGTTTTTGATCCATCTGTGTCCTCTCTACTCGGGAATAGTACTTTATAACGTAGTTCGTAGTTGACAGTTGGAGGCATAAAGTCAGAGGTAATTTCCAGAATTCTGTGACTTTCAGTGTCAACCAACAGTCTGTTGCACTCTGCATTAAATTGATTTGTGCAGTTGGCAATGTGCATACGTCTGTATGCAGTCCATCTAGCCTCTCTCTCCAGAAGAATGTGGAGAGGAGGTAGATCTGGAAGGATATCCATGGCCGCTGATGGATGGTATTGATGGCACCACAGATAGCCAGACAAGGCTGTCTCTGTAAGCCAGAGAGCTTCGCTTGTTCCGTTTTCTGTAAACCCTTCGGCCACCAGGAAATTGCACCATAAGTGGCGGAGACTTACTCATCACAAACAGTGTGTGAGTTGGCATAAAAACTGGATGTCCGCTCCCATACGGTGTTTGATAGTTTAAAACGTATTGGTCAAAAAGCTTCGAAAAGTGGGTGTCATACGATTTGAACCACCGGCAGAAGTTGTTACATTTTGAGGTCGGTTCTTCTTTGCTTTTGCGCAAACAAAACGATCCTTTTTAGGATCGTATTATCACCGGTGATGCAAAGTGGATCTTCTACAACAGGAGGAGACGTTTAGGACAGGTGTTGAAGATGAGCCACCCAGGCATTTTCAAAAGCAAAACTCCACCAGAAAATACCAGCAGCTGCCGACACTGTTCAACAGAAGAGGTTCGATCTTCCTCCACGACAACGCCTGTCTTCACGTTTCACCAATCACTGTTTGAAAATTGAACGAATTGAGCATCGAATTTCTGCCTCGCCTATCACACTTCCCAGACCTATTGCCAAACGACTACCATCTTTTCAATTACTTTCTCACCGATAGAACCTTCGCCAATCTGGACCAGGCAAAAACAGCCCTCGTTGACTTAATCGAATCTTGAGCACCCAATCTTTATGCTAACGGAATGAACCTTTTTCCTTGAGTACGAAAAATCACTCACTAGCAGTGCTAGTAGTTCGGTAGGGACAAACACTGCCTAATCCTCATATAAAAAACATATGGTAAAGTACAATTAAAAAAAAATCATCATCAATTAATTAGTATTTCACGCCCCAAAATTCTGTATTTTCAATTTTTGATATCCAATTTCTCTTTGACTAACTTAACAGAAAATTCCGTTGCAATCACTATCGGTGTTTTCAATAATTTCAACAATAAATTCATTTTTTCTTGTTACAAATACTGTCGATACCATTGTTGACTTATGACTTCTGAAATATTCACTAAGAATTATTAATAATCACTTTTGAAAAAAAAAGGGAAAACTAATGTTTGCCACCTGTACTCACCGCAGACACAAGAGCTCTTTCCACAGCTTTTTTATCATCTTCAGAATCAGTCATTGGCAAGTAGCTCTGCAAACTCAGCGCTATACCCAGTCTTCCTGAAAAACAAGTATTAGGATAATTTGACTATCGTTAATTTATGAAAAAGTTCGCGATTTCACTTCTATACCAAATAAATCTAACAATCTGATCTTCGGAATAATCTTATTGAGTTTTAAATAATGGTAGTTATTTTGACTGACATTATGGTTGGGAAGAGTTGATTTTTTCTTATTTTTTTCAATTATTCAATGTCGCTCAAAAGCTTAATACATTCCTGATGAGAATTGATGAGTTATGATCCCAAACTGGTCGATGAAATCTAATAATATATTCATTTGTCAACTACAATTGAAAAATCGATCTTTATTTTTGGTGAGTTGATAATATCAACAAAACCACTCGGGATATACTCTTTCGAACTTCTTCAAATCATTTTTCCACATCATTTCAAATTTGGAACCCATCCTTTAATTCCTCCGCAATGCACAATGATTAGTTAGGCGTACACATTTTCGAACCAACAGTCCACCCTTTCGTTACTGTGTCGTGAGTGTCATACCAAGTTTCGCCAAATAGAAAATTTGCCGTTGTTTTTATCTATATTTAGTTATTTGTTCTGAGTATTTGTCAGGCAATTCCACTATTCTTCTGCTTTCCATAACTGCTTGACGTTTGTTTATTATTTCAAATCTAAATCCTAGTTTCTTTATCTATTTCTGAAGAGTTTTGTCACAGCAGCTCACGTTATGGCCGGAAGTATTCAATTTCTTCCTTATGATTTCAATTGTAAGAATCTCATTGCTTTTGTAACAGTCGTATATTGTTTTTTTCAATTATATTATTAGATGAACATCTAGAGGTTTTGGTAATCCTGTATCACATCATGTTTTGCGTTCATAAGGTTCGTTTTTGAGTATTTTACGTAGAGTTGAGAAAGGAATTTCGATCAAATCTGATCGTGCTTGTAATAGTTTGTTTTCACCAAAACCGAAGCTGAGATGTAGATTCTTATATACATTGAAATATACTCGCTGTGTTTCAATATTCAAATGCATATGAATCTTATCCACTAGTATCTCTTTTTCGCATTGTTCACCATCGCTATTGGAATCACTACACTGGAAAAAGTCTGCGTTGTTATCATAATCGTTATTACTTGTCCATAGACGCCATATTTCAAACAGATAACAAAAATTTCCCAATTAATTATAACTGTACCAATACCGAATTTTGACACTCAAATCACGATCAGTTCCTGAACTGAACACGACGGCGATAACCATCCCCGCACTCCCGATTTCTATTCGTCATCGTAATGACTTATAATTCAATTTTATGACTCTTCAGACAATCATAAAACTCGTTTAGTAAAAATTATCCAATACGAACCGCCAAGTCTACAATTCACGTGGACTAGTTCATTGCCGATTCATTCCTATGTATTGGTTTTTTTGGCCTTTGAAAGTGTCACCAAATTTAGTCGTGAACAATATAGTTTACTTCAACTATACTATGAAGATAGTGGAATTAAATTTTCCTTTCTCCTTCTAAGGTCCTTCCAGAATTCATGCATACGAAATATTTGTGAATATTTTTAATTTTATACGACACTTTGTAAATGTGAGGTATTGAGTAATATTCAGAAACAATCCTGTTATAAATGGATTGTGGCTTCCTCGCTCTACATGGTATGAAAAAAAGACAGATCAAAAAGTGAGCTATTGATGAAGCGTGGTGGAAGCCACTTTGGATGCATAATTGAGATAATTCATGGAGATAGGTGCTCGCAGAGTGGAATGACAAGTGAAGAAGACTCTGTTGTGTTGTTGTGTCTGTTGAGGACTGCACAACGATGGACAGCATTTATGTACGTAGGAGACCAAACTAAAAAACTAACAGACTAACACGAAAATAACACAAAAAATAAAGAACTATGAAAAAGAAGAAGACAAAAGCCATAACGGGATATACAGTATACAATGCTCGGACTGCAACAAATATATCGGCCAAACCAAGAAAAAACTGATCCAAAGGTACGATGGGTACAAAAAGGCATACATAAACCCAATAGTATATAAATCAAACCTCGCAACACACGCCATACAAAATAAACATAATTTCCCCCCACCAGAGAACATAAAACTCATAAAACAAGTCAATAAGGGAAACCGCTTGGACACTTGGGAGAACTTAAACATCCATAAATTTAACAGTCATGAATCACTTATCGAGGAACAAGTACAAATCAAAACACAACAATACCTAACATTCAATACATTAAACAAATCAATACACACTCCCAGAAACAGTAAATCTAGAGAAGATCCAACACAAAGAATATTACCTGATGTATTCCAAATACAGGCAAATTTACCTAGAATACCTAGAGTACCTACATTGAGGCGATCTGTCCGTATAAAAGGACAAACAACAGAATGACACGTTCAGTTTGAGTAGAGCCTAGATGATGACAGTACGACCAGCTGTCGAAAGCGCTCGCAGATAATTAAATAAAAGTTATAAAACTTCAAATCCTTTAATATTAAAATACTGAAAATAAAGGAAAATTAGTTGCATCATTCAAAATATATACATATGTTACAAAAAGGATTTGAAGCTTCATAACTTCTATTTATTATATGCCAGCGCTTTCGATAGCTGCAGTTTTGAACTGCACTTTGAGTAGATTGATTGATTGATTGAAGTATGAAAGCGAACAACTACATAACAGAAAACGATTTTAGTATGATGAACCACGACCCAACCACAAAATTGGAAAAAAAGTAGTAGCCTAATAAAATCCAACAAACAGATCTTCAACGACAAAACATTGAACATATACACAGTCAACCACCCAAGATCACCAGAACTCAATGCACAGATAAAAATACATAAGGAAAATAAACCTATAAGACCGGTTATCATTTTCACTAAAGCGCCTTCATACAAAATTTCAAAAATCATAGCCGATGAAATAAAACCAAAATCAACAGGAACAACAACGACAGCGTCAAAAATTCAATGGATCTCACAGACAGAATCTCAGCGGCAAATGTCAGAACGAACAATAAACTATTCTCATTCGACATAAAAAACATGTACTCCAATATACCGATCAACGAAAGTATATCAGATAAACTAAAACACCTGAACATAGGTACGACCTACATTAACCAGATGGAATGCAGCCTAAATACAATACTCAATCAAAACTATTTCGAACCCGAAGGAAACATGTATGAACAAACAGATGGACTAGGGACGGGATCCCCACTATCTAGCATTATTTATTCATTTGTAATACAATACTCTACAGGACATAGCCCAATTGCAGAGCAGGAAATAACAGAGTATAATAAATACATCACAAACAAGTGACTGTAAAGTCTACAAACACTACAAACAATACAAACAAGTGACTATAAAGACTACACATTTTATATTTATTATAGGTGACAAAACAATTATTTTAGGAAGTGGGATTTTATATTTGACAATTTGCAACTAAATATATCTAAATTATCGCTAACAGAATTTGTCTCAAACGTTTTCTATTGAATTATCAAAGATCAACATATTCGTTTTCAAACTGTAGGACATGACCTTACATTTATCCGGGTTTAGCGACAAGTTATTTCGATAACACCATTCTACAACCCGTCCTACGTTTGCTGAGAGGTTCACACAATCATCTATGTTCTCAATGAGGCAGTATAGTTTTAGATCATCGGCGTATAAAAGGAAATACACATCTATAACATCTGCATTATATTCGTAATATACCTGCAAAGCGTAGATGAGAAAATCTCAACAATTATAAAAACAAATGATGAAAAAGGAGAATGGTTCAGATACGTTAACGATGGCCTGTACATATCACAAAACGAAAGAATAAGAATAGAACAATTGACAAAGGAAATTAACAAAATAAACCAAAAACTGATTTCCAGCATAGAGGAAGAAAACGAATCGAAACAATAACCACAACAAAACATAATTTCAAATTGCCATATACAGGAAACCTACACAAACAAGCTCCACCATACCCGCAAGTTCAAACCACCCACCATCACACAAAATGGATACCTATAACGCATTCATATTAGGAATGTTAAGGATACTACTCAGCAATGAAGCCCGGAATAAGGAAAGGAAAATCATATACCAAATGGTGAACGAGAACGGGTACACCCAAAAGACAATAGATAAATTAGAAAATAGAATCAAACAAAAAATACAGAACTAGTATCAAACTACTCCAACAAGTAAAACAACACAACGATGAACTGCATTCACATACGTAGGTCACCAAACCAAAAAACTAACAAACATCTTCAAACCCATGAACATCAACATCACCTACAAGCCCATCACAAGAATAACACAAAAAATAAACAGCTATAGAATATTCAGGTCATGAAAAAGTTACCTGGTATCAATTACCTTGTTGTGACTTTTTATATTTCGTCTGGTAGATATTCCATATTGCACTGTGTATCTTCAAGAAATTGTGACCACAAATGTACTCAGCGACACCACTCGGAATTGTGTTATATATGTTTCGTAAACGACCCACTAATCGCATACATACGGAGTGTGGTTCGTTGACAGTTATCCAAGTTTTTACCCTATTTCCAAATAGGTTGAAAAGAAGATCGGCATATTGAGCAAAGTAGTCGACGATTTTAGGGTTATACCAACCTCCTAAGTGATCCAAACTTCTTGGAATATTCCAGTGGTTGATGGTTATCTGTGAAATTAAAATATGACACTCTTGATGTGATACATGAAACAGAAAACCGAAAAAGTTGAAACCGAACACTCGTCAGTTGCAAATGAATATATTTTTAGGATATGTAGTTCTCTGTTGATTAGTACTTGGACTAGCTTGAATATATTGCACGTTTTTTGAAAACTTGTTAGTGTCTCTATTGTTCCTCTATATTCATATACGTTTTGTCCCTAAAATTCATCGGTACCAAGTTACGGGTCCTCAAAGTTACAAAATGAAAAATGTTATTCTTTGATAACTTTTCAAGTGATTATTCAAAATCAACCAAATTCTGGTAATTGACTGAACAAACAAATTGCTTTGATGAGCTTTCATGCAGGAGTCAGTTGTTTTGCTACAAAGTCAGGAACGGACTACCTCCGATGGTCCACTCCCCGAAACTTTGAAATGACATATATTTTTCAACGAAATCAGGTTGCTCAGACAATTTTCTGAATAAGAGTAGGGGAGAATGATCCACGATCAGACATGTTCCACAATCAGACAAAGCATGAGTAGTTGTTTACAGCTGATTCTCGGCCTCCCCCCACCACTATGACGTATTAATTGCTTTTTTATTGGTTGTTGTTTGGTGAAGTCAAGGTGATGTGACCTTGAAGGGTGTAAAAAATCTTGAGGTTTGGTTAGAATTTAAAAATTGTCGAAAGAGACAACTGCTTTGATGAGCCGATTTTCTATAGTTCGTGCCTGTATTTCTTGGTCTCGTATGACAAAAACTTGTCGATTTTGATATTGCACGTAGCTTTTGCATTCCGTTTCGACCTTCACAGCATATGACATCAGCGTAAATATAACTGAAAAGTAGGATGTGTCATCACTTTGATCGAAAATAAATTCATTCACCTGTCATTGCCAGATTTACCCGGCAAGTTTGGTTTGACTTTGAAATAAATGCAAGGTTATTATCTGCCCCAAAACAGATGCGTAGACTCAACACATAACATTTTACAGGAGAACAGACTGACATTTCTCACGCATATGCATGTCTAACATGAACTAGGTACCGCATACTCAATGATGATTCAAAATGCTGCACTATATTTTTTCTTGAAATATGATTACATTACAATCTGAACCAACATAGTGGATGATATGGACGTAACTTCAACTGAAACATGGGTATCGCCTCATTTTGGTCTCTTTTTTTCCACACATTGGCAAAATCTGATGTTGAAGTTTGGTTTAACCTTGAAACTAAATACTAAGATTTTCTCGAGGATCGAGTTTTCATGTATGCCGATGACACAACATTGTGACGTCCCCAGATCTGAATGAAATTGAAAATGGAACGAAACTAGTGATCAATGAATTCGAATGTTGGTGTAGAAACAATCATTTAATGAATAATGGAAATGAAACAACATTTATCCAGTTTTCAAGTAAGTATCAGCGCCCTTTCCAAATGAATCTAGGTTTCGAAACTGAATTGTCTTTCAATAATTACATCGAATACTTGTGCACTTCTCTGAAAAACGTATTTTGCCTTCCTAAAGATGAAATTAAATTTTTGAGACATAATCTCTTGGATATGTACTATGGTCTAATGTATTCTGAGCTTAATATAAATATTACCATTTGGGGACATTCATCAGAAATAAATAAAATCTTATTAAGGCAAAAACGCCTCATTAGAATAATTTTTGATCTCAATTACGGAGAATCTTGTAAGAAAACATTCCAAGATAAAAAAAAAATTCACATTACCATGCATTTATCTTTACAAAATATTAAGCTATGTTCATGTACATTCCCATTTGCTAACAAGAAATGAGGAAATAATATTTTTGTGTAACATGTGCTGTTATTGATATAAGTGCTATAAGATAAAATATCTTTTGTAAAATGTGACGTGTCATATATACATTCATGTATCGAAAATGATGACTAAAATTTGACTTTGACTTCTCCGTCAATGTCATGCTAGACGGAGATTTGTAGACATGTAGTGTCAACACTTGACATTTTACAGGAGGACAGACTGATATTTCTCACACATATGCATGCCCTACATGAACTTCCGCACGCTTAAAAATGATGTAATAATTTAAAATGTCACACTACGTTTTTCTTTTCGAAACATAATTGATTACAAATCTGAAGCCATACAGTAGATGATATTGATATGATTTACACTGAAAAGCAGGTTTTTTCTCACTTTGGTTTGTTTCTCCCCCACCATGTCAAGATCTGACAGAGCAGTTTGGTTTGAGCTTGAAACTGAACGTGAGTTCATTCACTGCCCAGTTTATGCTAGACGGAGATTTGCGGAGTTTCCAAAAGAGATGCGTAGGGTCATGCCATTTTGCAGTAGAATAGGTTGATATTTCTCACACATGCATATGCTCGCCTAACAAGAACTTTCACGTATTGCAGTACAATCTAATCATTTGAAATTCAACACTATATTGCAGTATCTGCAGTGGAGTATGGTTTGACTGTGAAAATGAATACAAAGTTCATTCTTAGCGAAAATCATTCTGAACGGGATTTGGAAGTTCTCCAAAACAATGTATACAGTCACAACACACCATTTTGCAGCAAAAAAGATATATTTTTCACACCTGAATATATTTTCGACATGAACTTTTACATGTCCCAATACACATGTTTCAATTTGAAATGTATTACTATCTTGTTCTTAAAACCCAATATCATCCAAGATTCAATCCAATATACCATATGACGTAAGCGTGTATTCAACTGAAAAGAAGTATTTTCACACTTCAACCTGAAAACTGATTCCTTCCCTCCACCATTTCATGATCTAACCTTGAAGTTGAGTTTGATCTTCAACTTGACTACGTGGTCATTTTCCGTCGATGTCCTGCTATACTGGATTGTGAGTCCACGAATATTACATAATGCACACATTTTTCGTACATACACACGCAGGCTTATGTTTATGTTGTAGTATTTTTCTCGAGAGAATTTATGTGGTTGAAGCTACGATGATTCTGCAACCGTGTTAGGAATCACACGTTAAAAGGTAAGACCTCGTTAGTCCTTAGCTCGCACAAGTTTTTCAACTTCTGAGAGTTGTCGTTCATATGGGGGCGACAGCTGATTATCGGAAAAACCGATTTTAAACAGAAACAGCACATTCACTTGCTGCATGATGAAGATACAGTAATGCAACTTGTCGCTATCGAATTGGATACTGTAATAGCGTGATCAACATTTTTGTCAACATTTTTACTGTTGTTCCTGTAAATATGGTGTTTCAGACTAATAAATCATCATAGAAATTCAGTTTTCTGATATACTATGATTCCATAAGACATGTGTCTCAATAACAGATTTTATTCATATTCATATTTGGTCACATTACTTCTAACGCAAAGTTTTCCCCGCTAGGTATTGCTGTTTCTGATTTACTGTTCGAGGAATATTTCCTGGCGCTCCATTTCGGCCAATAAGTTATTGTTGAACCTGCTTCTGCAATTTTGAAAAATGTTTGCTGATGTGATGAAATATATCGCATCTATCGTGAGCCTCATAATAGATGAATACAAGAAAACAGTGAAGGATGGACTTGAAGAGTGTTATAAGGCTTCTAAACGAATGAAAAAAGATCTGAAAAATACTATTACTATGGGTGGGAAACAAAATCTACCAGCATTCTTGATCAATAATACAACACTACGTAATCAGATGAAATTTAATATGAAGAAAGGAGCAGGCCTGATTATTCGGAAAGAGACAGCCTCTAATCGAGTACATTGGGATGATTCAGAATCGGCTTTCAATTCGCGTATCCGAACTGAAGTGATTAGTAATCTCAAGCAAAGAACCCTACCTCATTTTTGGTCGATATAAGACCCTTTTTGTGAGACTAATTCAAAATTCACTGAAAAAGGATGCATTTTTAAAGGTTGATATGACATTCGGTGAAGAATTTGAGGTTGTCGAAGGCGATCGAATCTTTAACGAATATAAGTATTTCTCAATATCTAACGCATCCATCCATAGTCACACTGATATGAATATGTGGTTTGAGAAACATGTTATGGAACCAATCATGATAAAGTTGGAAGAGTTTCAGGAACGTGACAGAGGTTAGACGTTGAAAGCAGTAGTGAATTTGAGAGTTACCGTAAACAAATTTGTGCCGCAGAGAGGTTCATCATACATTGAACTGCCTTCTCAAATCAAACGAAAAATCATGATAACGCCTGCTTCGTTTGGGCCATTGTTTCGGCGTTGTATCCAGTTCCCCATGGACAACATTCAGATCACATCCTATCTTATCCTGACTATTCAAAAGTTCTGAAGTTGTGAGGTATTCACTTAAGCTGAAAACTCCATGACAAATATCGTCTTGCTCTGGTGGTCGAGAAGGACTACATCGGGATAATGGCAATAGTGAGATGCAGAAGAGAAAGGGACTGAGGGAATTACCCGGAAATACGCCCTTTCTGAAAGGTACCCACCCTGTTTGGACTCTTGCTTGACCAGACGTTATTATGAAGCGAGTTCGCCAAAGAGGTATCAGTTCTTATGATGTAGTATGATGTAGTAATGAATATTACTGGAGTTCTTTCCAAACACCAAATCGTTATTTTCAACACCTCGACACGTGTTTCGATCACCAGGCGATCATCTCCTAGAGGAAGATTAAACTGGAAACTTCGCGAAGCTAATGCTATTTATGCTACACAGATATACCATCAGGTAACTAGTCAATATATGCCCAATTCCTCGAAGAGACTAGTTCAAGAAAAAGTCAAAAATCAAATCTCCAAGAAAATAATAACAGATAAACGAAACCATTCAATGAACAACGATAAAAACCAAAAGAAACTTATCAGACAATTGAATGACAAGGACGTTTTTTATTTGAAAGCCGACAAAGGTAACAAAGTAGTAATTCTGGATAAATCAGACTACTGAGAAAGGGTCAATACTCTCATTACTAACGGACCGTATACGAAATTGTCCAGGGATCCGTTTCCAAAGATGATTGCCGAAGTAAAAGACGTCCTCAAAAAATGCGACAACATACTTACCGCTCAACTGTAACTATATTGCTTCCGAAAAATCCACAATCCGGGAAAATCAATGCGCCCCATTGTGTCAGTTATTGGAGCTCCTACTTACCGAATAGCAGAGTGGTTCACTAAGGAATTAGAAACCTTGTCTATTGCGGAACCAGGATTTAATATAAAAAATTCTTTTGAGTTCATACAACATTCAAAAAACATGGTTCTGCAAGAAGGTGAAATTTTTGTTTCTTTTGATGTTAGTTCCTTTTTTCCTAGCGTCTCAATTCCACAGACCTTGCAATACCTCATGGAGTTACTACAGAAAAATGATTTCAATAATAACGTTATGGATGAATTTGTTTCTTTGACTAATTTGTGTATGAAACAAAATCGGTTCCAGAAGGTTGCTTTTATGAACAACATGAAGGAATGACTATGGGAAACCCCTTGTCCCCCTACATGGCAGACCTGTTCATGAGCAGATTCGAAATGGAAACCAAAGAAAAGTCAAAGTATTTTCCTAGGATTTGGCTAAGGTATGTGGATGATATTTTCGCGATATTCGATACCAAAAAATCGAATATTGAGGACTTTGTTTCCATTTTAAATAATAGATGTCCATCAATAAAATTCACGTATGAGTTAGAAAATAAGGGACAACTACCATTTCTCAAAGTTTTGATAATGAGGAGCCAATATGGAGGGTTAAAATACGATATATACAAAAAAGAAACAAGCACGTACAGGTATATTCCTGACAGTTCACATCACTGTGGACAGAACAAACGTGCTGGATTGAATTTTTTAGTGCATCGTCTTTTGACTTTCTCTCTGACACATGATAGGTTCACAAAAGAAAAACGTACAATACAGGAAATAGCAGCCACTAACGGTTTCTCGAGGGGTATTGTAGATTACATAATAAGGAAGAAGAAGTTTAGGTTGAGAATGAACGAACTCTCGTCTTTCAGAAAGGACAAAAACCAAGATAAATACATCTTTGGAAATATTTCAAAGAAACAAGGTATGGAGGTGGTTTTCAAAACAAGTCATACACTACAGAGGCTTTTGGGAAGTCCAAAAGACAAAGTCGAAAATTCGGAAAAGTCTGGAATTTACGAAATTGAATGTAAGGACTGCGATGCAAAATATTATGGACAAGGATAAATCGGACTACTAAGAAAGGGTCAATACTCTCATTACTAACGGACCGTATACGAAATTGTCCAGGGATCCGTTTCCATAGATGATTGCCGTAGTAAAAGACGTCCTCAAAAATGCGACAACATACTTACCGCTGAACTGTAACTATATTGCCTCCGAAAAATCCACAATCCGGCAAAATCAATGCGCCCCATCGTGCCAGTTATTGGAGCTCCTACCTACCGAATAGCAGAGTGGTTCACTAAGGAATTAGAAACCTTGTCTATTGCGGAACCAGGATTTAATATAAAAAATTCTTTAGAGTTCATACAACATTCAAACAACATTGTTCTGCAAGAAGGTGAAATTTTGGTTTCTTTTGATGTTAGTTCCTTTTTTCCTAGCGTCCCAATTCCACAGACCTTGCAATACCTCAGGGAGTTACTAGAGAAAAACGATTTCAATAATAACGTAATGGATGAATTTGTTTCTTTTACTAATTTGTGTATGAAACAAAATCGGTTCCAAAATCGGTTCCAGAAGGTTGCTTTTATGAACAACATGAAGGAATGACTATGGGAAACCCCTTGTCCCCCTACATGGCAGACCTGTTCATGAGCAGATTCGAAATGGAAACCGAAGAAAAGTCAAAGTATTTTCCTAGGATTTGGCTAAGGTATGTGGATGATATTTTCGTCTCACCCGGAGCTGAAAACTCCATGACAAATATCGTCTTGCTCTGGTGGTCGAGAAGGACTACATCGGGATAATGGCAACAGTGAGATGCAGAAGAGAAAGTGACTGAGGGAATTACCCGATAATACGCCCTTTCTGAAAGTTACCCACCCTGTTTGGACTCTTGCTTGACCAGACGTTATTATGAAGTGAGTTCGCCAAAGTGGTATCAGTTCTTATGATGTAGTATGATGTAGAAATGAATATTACTGGAGTTCTTTCCAAACACCAAATCGTTATTTTCAACACCTCGACACGTGTTTCGATCACCAAGCGATCATCTTCAAGAGGAANGTGGAATACAACCAATGTATGTCAT